CGTTAAGGAAATGCTTTTTTCTTTTCAAAACTTAAAGAAGTTTTACTTTTTGGCAAATATATCGGGATTCAGACAATAACTTTTTAGTACTTGGGGCTAAGTCGGTCTGCCACTGAGTAGTGCACCCAGTCTTAATGACAAAGGCAGACACATTCTACTTCACCCAGTCATGATGGTTGCCAAATCTCAAGCTTTACAGGCTTGATACCTTGATATGATTGAGTGGAGAATAGAAAGAAGAAGAAGACTCTTTAGTACATAAAATTGCCTTAAATTTGACATATCCAAATATATTACATAGAGCATATTGGTAACTGCATATAAAACCCCTACATTGGAATATAAAATTGATTTCCTCGTCAAGGACAAGTGTACTCACTGCCAACACGCGTGGATAGATGGAAACTTCCTGGAAATGCCATTGTTGTACCATTGTTATCTGATTGTTTTTGTTTATTGTTGCAATTCACTTGATTTCATTGTTGTATTATTGTTATTTTGTTGTTTTTAGTCATCGTTGCAAAAATGGGGAGTTTTTAGCTTGTTGGTGTTTGTTCATGTTGCCATTGTTATTTGATTTGGTTATTGTTGCAATTTACTTGGTTTTATTGTTGTACCATTGTTATTTTGTTTTTACCATTGTTGCAAAATTGCAGAGTTTTATTGTGGCTTGTTGGTGGTGGTTGTGTCGTTATTGTCATTTTTGAAGAATTGTTTTCATCATTGTTGTCATTTTTGGGAAATTGTCGTATTATTGTTGTCATTTTTATAGCATTTGTTTATATTGTTGCACTATTATTATCATTTTTGTGACATTGTTGTACCGCTGTTGTCTGGTTTGTGGCCTTATTTCAACATTGTTTTCATTATTGTACAAATTTTGCACCTTGTTTTCATTGTTGTACAATTTTTGCACCTTGTTTTCATTGTTGTACAATATTTGCACCTTGTTTTCATTGTTGTACAATATTTGCACCTTGTTTTCATTGTTGTACAATTTTTGCACCTTGTTTTCATTGTTGTACAATTTTTGCACCTTGCTTTCATTGTTGTACAATTTTTGCACCTTGCTTTCATTATTGTACAATTTTTGCACTTTGTTTTCATTGTTGTAGAATTTTTGCACCTTGTTTGCATTATTGTGCAAGTTTTGCACCATTTTTATTATTCTTATTTTATTTTGTTCCCATATTGAGGCATGTTGTTATTTCTATAGCATTGTAGTATTCATTGTTGTGCTGTTGTTTTTTTATCCATTGTTGTACCATCATTGTCATTTCCACATTTTCATACCATTGGCGCACAACTTTCTAGTTATTTTACCATTGTTGTGATTTTTGTAGCATTGTGATGATCATTGTTTGTGCCACTGTTGTTATAGTTTTTTGCTTCCTTGTTGTACTATTGTTATTATTCATTTTCATCTCTCATTGTCGTATCTTTTATTCTGTAATTGTATTTTCGCGCGTGACCCCTCCGGTTCCCTGCGACGATGCGCTTCTTCCCTCGTGGATCACCTGACCGGGCTCCAGTTGCTCTTCCTTGTAGCTCTTCCCTACAGGCACCCCGAAGACGCCCAGAAGAGCAAGAGCAACGATGATGGCGAGAGTAACGACAGTAGGCGGCACCAAGACTTCAAACACTGACTTTATTGTCATCCACCACTAAACATTACATTTAAATGGTATAACAAACAATGGGTATTTACATTATGTTACATCCTGGGGCCAAAATAAAAGTGTATTTACAATTACCTTCCCCAGGAAACAGGAACACAGCAGTCGGCGATTCCCACATCAGCCAGAGAAGGGAAACAGCGAAAGCGCATCTATTGGCGGAGGTCGTAGTCATTTGGAGGCCTTACACGCGACAATATCATTGTTGAAAATTTTGAGAAAATGGTAATAATTGTTGTTACACTGTTGTTTTATTTTTGGCATCTATTTTACTTTTAGACCTGAAGGTGAGCACCTCGCCTTATATACTTGGAGAAAAGAAATACATCGTTTATTAACTGTGTGTATTTTTGTTTTGAAACTTTTTATACGATTCAGCGTTTACCTGCAATGTTAAATTTAATAAAAGAATCTCTTGTATCTATAATAATGTTTTTTTTTTTTGCTTATCCCTAGTACACATGGTACAGACCATGTTAATCATGGTGGGCAGAAGTAAGCGTCTGATTTTACTGTAAGTGCATCACATGTCTACACATGTGAAAAGCAGTTCGATTTTGCACATACAAATATGCTAGAGCCCCGTTTGGTTACTTGCACTCGCTGGTGGGGTTGTACTTTTGCAAGAATTGGAGGCCATTTGAACATTTTTTTTTTTTAATCGGAAAAAAGTGCTAAATGTGGGAATCGAACCCGGGTGGTAGCGGTCGAAAACCAACAGTTTAGATTATCCTTCCACCGACCCCAATAATACGGTGAAAATTATTAGCGTTTCCAGGGTTAAGTTTATTGTTAACAATTTAATTCACAAAATTTTAACTTTCAAACACACTAAAGTCTTTCTACAGTGAAATAAAAAAACACGATACAATTAATTTATTAAAAACAAAAAAATCATTTCCTGACCACTCTCATGAGCATTTTAGATGGCAGAGCGCTATCTAACGGAACAAAAGACAACTAAACGTTTATTTAACTTGTTTCATGATATTTGGCCAACCCAATTTCTTGATTAATCAATAAAAGTCAATCAACTACGCATTTCGGGTTGTTGGCTCTCATCAGCGTGATGGAGACTGTATCTCTACGACCAAAAATGAATGTATCTTGTTTTCTCCTGCAGAAAGATTTTTCATGCCCGAATTGAAATAAAGAGATTTGTGAATTAAAATGTTTTAAAAGAAATGTATCCCTGGAATCTTGGTATATTCACCATAACCATGTTAAATCTAAGAATAATAAATTTATACCTTTAACTACGCCTTTTTTAAGAAAAAGGCATCTCGCTGCTTGCACCACGCTGATGAGGGCCAACAGCCCGAAACGCGTCCGTGGTTAGCTTTTCTTGATTAATCAAGAATGGGTATTTGGCCAATTCTGGAATAATTAAAAATCAACGAGAATAGTTGATATTTATTCCGATAGATGGCGCAAGCCATCATCAACTTTCAGTTGCACGATAAGGAGATGCCTTTTTCTTAATTTATGCACCTTATCCCAGTACAATATCACATTTGTACTATTATTTCACATTATGCCTTTTTTGATGATCCATTAGAATACAATATCAATGAACTATTACTGAAAATCCGCTTTCAAGTAAAGAATTCTGGACAAATTTTACCTTCCATAGAAGCATAGGGCGCTTCTCCCGTTAAAATAAACGTCAAAAACTGACGCCATCTATTGACCGTCGCCGCAAACTAGCGGCCTCGGGTCGGTGACAAAGCCACAACACCAGCTTTGGCAAATTGAGAAGCGTCCACCTAGAGACCATGGTTTCGGGCTAATGGCCCTCGTCAGTCTAGGGCGGTCAATAGATGGCGTCAGTTTTTGACGTTTATTTTGACGGGAGAAGCGCCCTATGCTTCTATGGATCAATTTCCTCCCGGCAATTTTTCCATCTAAATTTTATCTTCTTGTTCAAAAATCACTTTATTAGATATATATAAAATGAAAGGATTTAAAAGCACGAATGTTTCTTTTATACATAATACAAACTTCTACTGCCCTTACTGCGATGAAAAAATATATTGGGAGGGCTTGGCTCATCGCAGTAAGGACAGTAGAAGTTTGTATTCTATATACAGTTACGAGCGTCATTCCTCATCTTCTAATCAACTCTGTCACCGTTTGCTTTTTTTTTTTGGAATGGCGCCCTCCTATTGGTTGGCTACGAACACGCCACCTTTGCCCCCTCCCCCCCCCCCCCCCAATCATGCCTCCCCCACTCGCTTTTTCGTTTTTGTAACTATTGTGTTGGAGCGGGTCGCTCCTTAAATAAATGCATATATTAGTTAATAACTAAATGGAATCCTCTCTTTCTTTTTCCCAGTATGAGACGCCTACGGAAGCCAACAGTACATAGACAGATAAAGCACATAGGCTATAGTTATTAACTAATATATGCATTTATTTAAGGCGCCAAATTATAATTGTAACAAATAGTATTTGAATAAAAACATTTAATCGGGTAAAACACGGGCGTTGCCCAGGTCATTCGGCTAGTTATGTATAAAAGAAACATTCGTGCTTTTAAATCCTTTCATTTTATATGTATAGATGGCGCGTTATTGCTTTGTGTTAATTTATTAGGTACCGCTCAAAAATAGTAACCTAGTTTATGATATTGGCAACAATGAGTCCAACACGGGATTCAATCCCAGTTCATGGCTGTTGGGAATCGAGGGTTTTACCCACTTCGTCCACCGACTCTTGGACAAATTTTAAATATTAAAAAACACCAAAATAAATTTCTCAATTCTCACTAAAATGGATTTTAAAATATATTATCAAGATTTTAAAATACAATAATATATATAAATATTTAAAATGTTCGAAAATTATAATTATATATACAATAGAACCCCCCTGTAAAGGACAACACCTATTGCAAAGCCAAAATGTCCTTTAGGGAGAGATATCCTCTTACCGGAGAGTTGCTAAATTGTAAAAATGGCAATTTTGCAAATGAAAACTGTCCTTTGTAGAGAGGTGTCCGCTAAAAGGAGGTTTTACTGTATATAAATTTTTATTAAATTTTATTACATTTATTAAAATATTTTACTCTTTTGTGTAATATATTAATCATCACAAAATATTTCTCTATGACAAAAAAAAAAAAAAAAATCAGGAAAAACAAATTCATTTTTAAACATACGATTCAATTTAACAATTCGAAATTTATGGCGGGAAAATAGATTAAAATAAAATCAAACGAATTTTTATTTCGAAATCAAATAATTAATTATTAAAGTCGTCTGCGTGTGTTTCGTTCAATTATATGAGCTTATTATTATATATTAATAAGAATACAAAAGATAAAAACAAGGAAAAAGTTGGCGAAGATTAAAATTACCCCATTACATAGTTTCAACCATGCACAAACATTAATAAATATTTATAAGCGCACAGCCATTTTTTTTCGATTTCTCAACTCGTAGCAATCAAGGGCATTCAAGGTTTTCTGCCATCTAGTGGCGGCAAAACGAACTAATTTAATTTATGAGGCCGTTTGCTAGTAAATAAATCCAGATTTGTGTTTGTTGCTTCGTTATTTCTTTAAAAATATATTTTTATATTATTGTATTTATAAAATCTGTTGGAATATATTATTATGATATAAATTTATTTATTATATATTTAAATATACACTTTAGAAATGATAAACTTTATAGAAATATTTTGCGCAATATTCAAAATTCACTTTTTTTTTAAATAATATATTTCTAGATATGACTAAAAATATATATAAAATTGATTTTAGTTTAATATATTTTATTAAAATAATTCCACACACAAAAATGTTTGAAATAAAAGTATAATCAAATCTCTTTATTTTCTAAAACTATCATTCCAGTAAATACACTTGTTATAATTAAATAAAGTATAATCATAACAAATATAAAAAAAAAACCTAAAAAATATATGGTAAAAAATACGCCCGAACGGGGACTCGAACCCCGGACCGTTAGGTTAAAAGCCTAACGCTCTACCGACTGAGCTATCCGGGCAGGTACGGAGATGGCTATATGCATCTATTTAAAATGGTATTATTTTTTGATTTTTTTATGGAGAATAGTTTTTTGTTACTTACTATAAAAAAATGTTTTATTTTAATATAAATAAGTAAAAATTGCGTTTTAATATATATTTTTAAATATTATATATTCATTTTATTCGTCTGCTCTATCTTTCATTCCCTTTTTGTTGCATTAAGCTCTCTCTCAACAATGAATAAGGGTATTAAAAAACGATTTAATCATTTGTTTTAAATAGTTTTTAAATGGTGGCTCTAAGAAAGGCTTGGGAGAACAAATATTTTAGCGAACAAAAGGCCATAAATTGTTCGAAGCAAATGAAACTATTGAGTTATACATACATTGTTCGGGCATTAAAGATCTTAATACGTGTTTGCTTTACTCTATTTTAATACCATTTGTTCTACAGTATTGTTGAATTCTAATTTTTAGAGAAAAACTATATTTAAATATAAATTTTTATTTAATTTTATTTCAATTTAATATGTCCCCAAGTACACTTGCGCTGCCATACATGTATGCCTTTACATTTGTCTCTATACATAAATATACAATAATTTTAGGTCGTGAATAGAATAGTCATATGATGTTAACAATGAGAAAGAGTGAAAGTACGTAGCATTTCATTGCTCGTAGGATACCGAGTAGACTACGTAGGATTCGCTAATGATGTGCCAGGGCACTATCAATAATTTTCTCATTGCAAGCTTCTGCGGAGAAGAAATTCAAGACTCGAAACATCTACTTCTGGAATGCCCAATTTTTCAGGATTATAGGGAAAGAAAATTTGGTGGCATCAGACAGCTATATGAATTCGTAAATGAGCAAAGAATATATAAAAATTTTAATCAATTTTATAGATATATATTGTTGTTCCGGGCTGCAGTTTGGCAGATTCTTCAGTCTTGATCTCTCTCTTCAGACGCGTCTTGCATCTTTCCAGAACGTGTCTCAACCATCCTACAAGGTTAAACCAGTCAATAATAAGACAACTATATACAGTAATCCCTCGTTATCACGAACTCGGATTATACGAACTCTCGGTTTGCGCGAACCGTTTCTTTTCCCCCGTTAAATTTCAATGCTTTCCAAAGAGATTTTGCCGGTTAAGACGAAATATTCGGTTATGACGAAATACGAATTAAATTTAGCCCCCAGCAGAACTAATCAATTGGTTAAAACGAATTCTAATATGTTTTTAAAGGCGAGTTATAAGTAAAACAATAAACTATTAAAACAACAAAAACGCCGTTGATATCAAGTATTGGCTCTCTTTGTCTTTTGTGTAAACATTCGTCCTTTGTTTGTTATGATGACTCATTTTCTATGAAACCATCCCCTTGGGGTCGTTCCATGTACTCAATCAGTGGAAAATGAGCTTTTAAAATGGTTTAAAAAAAGTAGACAAAATAATATTCCTGTATCCGGCGCACTTGTCAAAGAAAAGGCTAAAGAAATAAGGGTGTGGAAAAAACAGCTGATTCGTTTTCACTTCCAGAAACAATGCTTGATGAGCCTGAAGAATGGACCAAACTCCTTTCAGCTACAAACCCAGCTGAGACTTTGACTTTCCTGGAGTATGTTGCCCTGGATGAAGGGTTGGAAATTTGCGGTTCACCCGAATTAGAAGAAAAGAAGAAAGAAGAAGAAGAAACAGAAGACGATGAGGTGAAAGAAGAGATAATGATGCCTACTAGAGGGGAAGTAATCGCGGCCCTCGAAACCCTCCAGAAGCTGTCCAAAACCTCTGCGGATATTGATGTTCATTTTGAAGATGACCTGGATAAAATAAGAAGGGAGTGTCTGAAACAGTGCCCAATCAAATACCACCAAAAAACTATAACAGACTTTCTGAAGCCTGCAGAGAAAACCTAGATATAGGATACTCTATGCATACTGCATATGCTGCATACATTGTATGTACCAAGTATATTATGTAAGTTGTTTCTTTTGTTGTTCTTTTTTATTTGTGTTTTAAAATAAACTTATATTCTCATGTTATTGCCTTACATTGTGATTATATTATCCATATTGTCTTTTAAAATAAAATACTTTATGTACATACGTATACATAATTGTTGTTCCTTAAAATTATAAAATATTTTCATTAATATTGTTTTCAAATAAATTTATTCGTTATTCCTCAGAAATGTAGTTTTCTTACTCATCAGTAGTACATAAGTACAACCCCCGGATACCACGAATTCAATTCGTCTAATACGAATTCGGTTTATACGAATTCGGTATATATTCTTTTAAGACGAAAAGGGTATTTCGTTCTCCCGTTGAGTTCGTCTTAACGAGGGATTACTGTATTTAGGGAACACCTAGAATCTCTCTTTATTTATCACATCAAAGTTTAAAGCAGGTGGGGTATTTTAGTGTATCAAAATACAAATGTTTTATAGTACATAATATTTTATAGTAATAATCTGTTTTATAAAAGTAAATAAATATATAATTTAAAATTTAAATATTTTAAAAATAATATTATAAATAATTTTAAAATACGCGCATTAATCATGATGCAACAATATACAACTATCTTTTGAACTGGGAAAGAGAGGGAAGGAAATTTTGAGAGAATTACTTTTGTATGTTTGTCTTTTTTCTCCTTTCTCCTTGTATATAGCCAGTTTGTTATGATGTTAGAAATGTATTGACGCAAATATCCCTGAGTTTGCTTCACGTATTGCTTTCAAAAATATCAGCAAACAAATCTAAGGCAATAGCTTACTATACATTTTTTAGATTATCATTATGTAAGGACTAGTCAACAAGTGAATGATTTTGAGATGAAGAGTAAAGCCAGTTCAATTTCTATGTATTCTTCTTCTTCTTTCTTATCTCCACACTTGGTTAGGTAGAATGCGTCTTCCTTTGTCATTAAGACTGGGAGCACTACTCAGTGGCAGGCCGACTTAGCTCCAAAAGAAATGGCCGTCTCTGACATGAGGAACAGATGCCATGTACAGCCGCTCCTAACATGGAGTACAAACGCTGCTCATCCTGTATCCCTGGGTTAGGAGCCCTTACAGGGTACTATCAGCCGGGCCAGCTGAACTCAGGTTTTTTAGCGAGCTTGTTACTGCTTCCCCTCCTCCTTTTTCATCCGGGCTTGGGACCGGCAAAGGCGGAGTTCAATTTCTATGTAAATAACGCAAGATGATTATTACCTTACCCAATTGGGAGAATCTGTATGGGGCATGTCTCTAATAAAGGCTTTTGTGTGTGTGTGTGTATATCCCTGAGTTTGGGATATCGCGTTATAGGATGTTAATTAAGTTAATTAATTAAAATGAGGTCAGTAGGAAATTATTATTTTTTTTTTTATCAAAACGCGCTAAATAATTTCTAAATTGAGAGATAGATGGCGGTATTTTGTCATTATAATTAAAGTTTTACTATTATAATTATTACAATTATTTTATTTCCAAAGCGCTATATCCCGCAAGGGATACTTGCGCCAAACAAGGAGAAAAGTTTATTTACATACGTTATTTACATTATTCAATGCATGAAAACATTAGAGATCCAGATTTTGTAGAAAGTTTAGAATATATTTACAAAATGAATTGAAGAAAATAAGACCTAATCCAAATAATGTATTAGTGTGACATTTCGGCAACAACATTGTCACCATCATCAGACAAAAGAATAAAATTTGTCTGATGATGGTGACAATGTTGTTGCCGAAATGTCACAAAATGAAATGAACTTTAAATATGATTTTTTTTAAATCGGAAATCAAATCGTTAAGTTCACTATAGTCACAACAAAAAAGCCTTTATTTAGGGTCACTGACCCTATACAAGATTCACCAGAGATATGCATAAGAACAAAGCAGTGAGACAAAGGAAATAACGATATATACAGAAGAAAAAAAAAAACAAGAAAGAGAAAGAGGGAAGCAAGAAAAACTACACAAAAAGAGTAGCAGTAAGAAAGTGAGGAGTGAGTTCACTATAGTTAAGTGTTATAATTACAATATATATATATATATTTTTTTTTCTCACAATGAGTGTCTTTTTATTACAAAACGCTAGCTTTCAAGTGATAATCACTCTTCAACGGGCTTAATAAAACATCGACTATATCTTACAAGGAATATTTACAAAAAAATTAATATTACAATTACAATTATTTTATTTCCAAAGCGCTATATCCCGCAAGGGATACTTAGCGCCAAACAAGGAGAAAAGTTTATTTACATAAGTTATTTACATTATTCAACGCATGAAAACATCAGAGATCCAGATTTTGTAGAAAGTTTAGAATGTACTTACAAAATGAATTAAATTTGAATATGATTTTTTATCGGAAATCAAATCGTTAAGTTCACAAACAGCTTGTTCATTCTTCATTCTATAATCTTGAAATGCTGGACAATCTTTTTTTTTATCGCTTATTTTTATCGCTTGAAATCTAGCGTTTTGTAATAAAAATAAACTCATTATGATAAAATATTTTTGATTTTAAAACTTTTTTCACAATTTTACCATGAATGGTAGGTGTAAAATACCCATAGAAAAAAAGATTTGTTATTTTTATAAGTCGATTTTTCAAAATTTGTGAAAGAAAAAGGAAATACCAAAGAAAGATAAAAGAAACACGTGGATTTGAAAGGAAAGAAATTATTAGATTCTTCATACAATTTATGATTGGGAGGTTGGAAACTTTGGAATTGTTATTTTCGACCATAGCTACAATACACCATAGTAACCTTAGAATCTGTTTAAACCTCTTCTTATTGGTTACAAACTTTATATAAAACTATAATACAATATAATGCGGCTTATGATTGTAGAATGACATTTGTGAATACCTTATATAATATTTACGAACACACACACACACACACACGGAAAAATATTTCCAGGGTAACCTAGTGGGCATGACATCTGCCCGATAGGCGGAACACTGTGAGTTCGATTCCTATCCCTGGACACTTTATTTTTCCGTTTATCATTACTCTTC